AGGCTGAGTTTAGGATATTTGATTACCCGCATAAATTAACCGGCGTAGGTGGCGTCAAGACTAGTGATGTAGAAAATCATCACGTCTCCGTGTGACGGCACCATGACGTCCAAGATCGCCAAAATTTGTCGCATCGTCATGACGTCTTCATGACGTCATGCGACGTCATCACATAACATGGTAGCTTGGTCAACTGGAGGCTTATTATGGAGGCCGTGCGAAACCACGTCAACTGCGGAAAGTTTTCGGAGGGAGGTGGGCGAGGATTAACACATCGAGTGAAAATCAAACGAAAATGGGTTTCGCCTTCCAGTCATATTAGGTGCATACAGGAGAGATCCTACGAGTTTTTGTTTCAAGTAAAACTTTACCGCACAAGCTGCAAACTTTGTGATAACCAGTGTTGCCACTGTGGTGGGGCAGTGGTTATGGTGCACGGCTACTGACCCGAAAGACGCGCGTTCGATTCTAGCTGCGACGGTCGCGTTGCGATAGAAGCGAATTGATAGATGCTCGTATAGATTTATCATCCCATCAATCGCATAATTTTTTTCATATAAACAGCCTATTAGCGTTCGTTCGCATAACTTACAAAAGTTGAGGCTGCTAACTTTAATGTATCAATTCACGGCCCGCCGCGGTGATCTATTGGCTAAGGTACGTCGCTGCTGACCCGTAAGTCGCGGGATCGAATTCCGGCTTCGGCCGGTGCATTTTTAATGGAGGTGAAAATGCTGTAGGCCCGTATGCTCAGATTTAGGCGCACGGTAAAAAAACCCGAGGTGGTCGAAATTTCCGAAGCCCTTCACTACGGCGTCTCTCATAATCATGTGGTGGTTTTGGGACTTTAACTATGACTGAGTGTGCGCGCGTGTGCTGCCTAATGTGCTGTGTTTATCTCTCTTCCCTCTCTCCTCTCTATCTTTCATCTCCTCCATCCCCCTCCCATGCGCAGGGTAGCAAACCGGCTGCCTATAGGCTGGTTAACCTCCCTGTCGTTCTTTTCCTCCTATTTTCCTTCCTTGGGACTTTAAACCCCGCATATCAATCCCTGTATCAATGCGCAGGAGAACGGATTGGGAAGGCAGAACTTACTGTGGACAGCCGTGTACGTGTACGTGAGAACGAACCACGCGTGTCGGTACATAAGGTCCGCTGGCACACTTCTCTCGTGTCATTATTGGCGTGGAAGAACAAGGATCAAACAGAAAATGACTGCCCCTTATGATTACTACTCTGTAAGGCATCCTCCTGTAGCCTGGACTCCCAGGCTCGAAAGAGATCGGGATATCCATTGCCGGACCTACTTTCCCGTCACTGGGCCCTGGCCCACACACTAAAGAGACCCCTTTTTTTACGTTTCCTTCTTGTATGCGTCGAAGACATTACACGGCCGTCTCCGTTTGGGTATCCCGTTCGCACGCTTCACCAACGAAGCTCGAAAAAGCGGGGTAGTAGGCGGCTGCACTTAACTCTTCGCGGCATAACAGCCGAGCACTGCGCAAAGAAAGCTTGTCGGAAGGAGTTCGGTCGTCTAGACGGCGTACTTTCTGCTACGCTGCGCTCGTCTGTGGCAATGTTTTCCGTGTGCGCCCGACCTACAAGGACACGCTTTGTCTGACTCGACTGATTGCTTCGCTTCGTTCTTTTCACCTCGCCAGCCTTTGATGTCTAGCGACGCGCAAAATTGAAGAGGATGGTGGTTGTGTTCTCATTTCTTTCTGCCCTGATCGAACACACGATATTTTCCGGGAAGAAACCTTGTAACGACCACCACGTACATTTGACCCTTTGTGACGGCTTCGCATAAGCTTCGAGAGATGCTGTGTTTCAAATAAGAATATTTGTTTCCGGGGCCCTTAGGGCTGGACAAAAAATGCAGAGCAACAGCATAGGCTATGCTCCCGGAGATGTGACATCTTTGGAAACTGAACCAATGTGGCCACCGACCATAAAGTGAATTAAGTAGTAGTTAATTTCAGTAGAGTACAGTATAGTGTTTCTTTATGAGATCTACATTCTGATATTCTTTTGGATCCTGTTAAACATAATTTAATCAACTATTTCATGAACCTCGCTTACTCACTCAACGCAGTGTAAGAAGAGTCTAGCAGGATTATTTTGATTCCAACTGGTGAAGTGATAAGTTATTACAGTCGTGCTTCTGCTCCTACTTGTGCACACCACTGATGAGCTTGTAAAATAATAGGGTATATAGAAACACGCTTCAGCGTTTAGATGATATCCAATGCGCATTAGCAGGCAAATAAAGCAAATTGATGCCAATTAGCAATTCCTCAAGCTTATCTTCCCGTTCCCTTTGTTTCCGTGTCAATTTCACGGTTTCTGATTGAGTAGCTTTTCGATGAACATGTTTTGGAATAGGCTAAGCTAAAATGAATGGCTATAGAGCACAGTGATATTTCTTAGCCAGACATACAAGATGATCAGCGGCTAAACAAAGCACCTTGCCATCTCGACACCATTCCATATATCTCGATACAGATACCGCATTTATACGCCACGCGGAAACTGAACACGATGCTGTAGCACGCAATCACTTTGTTACGCAACTGCATGAAACGGAGACGGCGTTTCGGCAACGAGGATGTTTTTTTTTTACACCGAGCACACTGTGAATATACGTTTTCAGTGACTACATTGAAAAGCAAGGCTGGCGTAAGTCTGCGCTTGCGCAAGTCTCCATTTCACATTCATTCCTGTTTGTGGGGTTGCGTTTCTGTTGTATTGGGACTACCTTCGAGAAAGAGTTGTATTCGGGGACAGAGACCGGAATCGGAAGGGTTCAGGGCACCTGCCATTTTGCTGTCGGGCTGTGTTCCCTTGTGTACAGGACCTTGACTGGCAATCCGCGCATACCTCGTCTGTTCCATGCCAGAGTGAAACACCTGAATGTGTTTTTTTTTGTCTGCAAAGAATATTGTTGCGTATGGAACAAGTGTCTCATAATCCAAGGTGGTCTGAATACAACGAAATCTCCTGGAACCTTAAGAGAAAGATGTACATTTTTGATGTCTGTGTAAACGAAGGTGTAAGGTGCCCCCCCCCCTTTATTACCCCTACTTATTTCGCCTAGCGATCGGCGACAAGCATTTCTTTTTCCGGTATTTCCCAAGTTGTCATGGTCTGGCACAACAACGGCTTGTTCTGTCGTAGGCATGCGATTGTAACTTGAAGGCAGCATTAAAATGTCTGGCCATGTGACCAAGCTGAATAACAAATGTTTCGACTGTTTGTGCTTCGAAAAACGTTTCGAAATTTTTATGTCAGTGTCTCTGAGTGGAAAGCCAATAGATCACAGGACGAGTTGTGGAAATAATACAGCATATCCTGATAAGGTGTCTCTCCTTAAAACCTATTCTGCTTCAGGACATTCAGCTCAGTAGTTTAACTTTAGAGGACTTGTTTTGCCTCTTACTGAATAAGATATTTGCGAAAATTTTCACCTTAGGAAATCATTTACGTTTTTTGTTATCACATAGCGAGGTACTTGCGCGAAAATAAAGCACACGATATTTCTCAGATATTAAATAAGTCAAGCATATAGGACAAAGAACCTAAATTAATATCAAGCTACGTTCTCACTGTAATACCAGAACGTTACGACTTTTCTACATATAAGTATGTGCTGCATTCTGGTGCGTTGTGTTTACCACAGAGGCATTACAGTGGACGTTACTAGAGTTGTAGTCGTCATAAGTAATAGCTCAAAACAGATAGATTGCACCACTAATGTTTTTCCTGCCTTTTTGTGTACTATGCAACAAATACAACATGAAAGCAGCAACCACAAAACCGGGTTCATTTGCGAACACAGGAGAGGCCTTTTCCCTGCAGTGGGCATAGTCAAGCTGATAGTGATGAATGATAATGATTTACGCAATGTACAGCCCTGTCTCCACTTGCAAACACAGATCTGCAGAAGTTTATGTTCTACAGCAAGTGAAAGAAACACAAGGTTGACACACTGGCGGTAACCTTCGCAAAATACCATAGATTTATTTTTTCTATTTACATGCTTCTGGATGAAAACACTGAAGCTTCTTTGGTAGCTTTCATGCGTTGTCAGCCCTGTTGATTTAGCTCAGGCCCCAAACGCTGACAAATCTTCGGGACCGGAGTAATGTCTTGGTTCATTACTGCTGATAGTAATCGGTCAATATTTCCGCTCTTGAAATGTGAATAATGAGAACAGGCTGTAAATAAAAAAAAGAAAAACAGAGGACGAGAGAGAGGAAATCAGTCATTCACATGGCTTGCAAGGTATTGAGCAATTAGTGAATCCTTGCCGGTTCTTAATGAATACTTCACAATTGTTAGCGCAGTTTGTAACGCGGTTTCTATTAAGTAGCAGTACACGTTTAAAAATAAATGACAAGGACGGCACTTCTTGGCAAGTAATCATTACGACAAGCAACGTTAATATTCGCGAACGCAAGTTTCACCTACACCAGTTCTTTCATATACGGGGTGTTCATTAGAAAAGTTCACATTGCGACCTAATTTGAAGCTGTATAATGAATTTAACGAACTCCACGAAAGATTCTGCAGAAAGCTGGTTGAAATTGTAGCTTGTGCTCATTCGAATTCGTTGTTGAATAGAAAATAGTTGTAAATACCTACAGCGTTCGATGCATCTTCAAAGTAGTTCCTTAATAACACACAGAAAAACTCAGAGAAGATAAGAGCGACTGGGCATCAATACCTTGAGGAATTCAAGAAATGAACCCCATTCATGCATACTTGCAGACAATGCACGGCGGCTTTCAGATTAATAGCACTCTTTGGACATCTCTTAATTTCTCTCGAACACGTAGTTGGAGACTTCTGGTAGAAACAATGTGAATCTGTAAGCTTAACTGGTTATCTTTCTCAGGCTGTTGGGCTTTCAAAACAATGAATCCTATCACACCTCACAAAACTCGCAAGTTTCTAGCTCTCGACACACATATAATACTTTATACGAAGGATTTGCTTACCTTTACAATACAATTTTCATCAGCCTCCGTTTTTCAAGTGGTCCCCCTTTATGGTGGCTCAACTTGTTCTTGTTTTAGAGTTGCTATGACCTTAAAACATTAAAAATAAAAAGAAAACGTGAGGATACACGAGGAATACTTATAGACAAAAATAACGACAAAATTACGAAATAATCGGCAACCGCTATTGCTAAAGCTTCACACACAGCCAAGGACAATTTAACCAAATTTGAAATTGGTGACATGGTGCATATCTATGAAATTTCGACCACAGAAAACATGACATTCACAATCACAGGAGGAGACAACAGAACAGGGCCCATCCTGTTTCCTGGTCTTGTGAATGGATCCCAGATCATAACGGACAAAACTTCAAAACGCAGGTTGTTGGTAGATAGAGGACGTACGTCCACATTTATACCAGTCCTGTGCAAATCAGAAGGAAATCAACATACAACGTGAGGATCCCAGACCTCAACACAGAGGAAACCGGCGTACAACATAGGACCAATCAAAACTACCTACCCGAAGTTTTGACTTCACACAAACACTCGGGCTATCGGGTGAACCCGCAATTCAGGGCCAATTTTTTTAGCAACAGGGATCTAGTATGTGTTCTATTCAAATACCAGCCACCCATGAACAATGAGGGGGAGTGCTGTGGAGTCCCCCCTGGCTGGCACGTTTGGGCGACGGACTACCTAGTTCTAAAATCTAATAGGGAGGAATTATAAACTTAAACATCCAAATATCAGCGAGTACCCACTGTAACACCGAATTCATAATAAATTAGTCAAAAGAAAATAGAAAAAAACATTACCTTGTTTTTCCTTTATTTTTTTTAACAATTGGGAAATCTCTATATGCCTCTCCTTGGTCCCGACTACTCGCTAATTATTTACCCAGAGGAAAAGAAAAGGGGGGAACAAAAGGGGGAAGGAAACCCTCTTGACGGTAATAGTTCAAGAAAACAACAATAACCCACACACTTGAGTGGGTCTCAAAAAGTCAATACCGACCATGTTCCAATAATGTTCCGAACAATGCCTTCAAACTCTTTACCACTGGAGGCACACCGAAAATATAAAACGTTGTAGGTAAAAATGTACAGAACCTCACAGGCACAATACAGTTCTCCTGAAAATTGGAAGAACATGAAACTTAAGGTCTGTTCTGAGCAGGAGCGGGATGGAAAGAAGGAGCAGCCCGAGGGAGATGACACATGCTATACAAGAGCAAAGTTGCATCATTGCTTGGGGTCCACCACGATCCGTGGTCGAGCAAAGATTATCACACAAGAAAAGAGGAAAAAACATGATCGCAATAAACAAATAAAAAAGGGGGAAAGAAACTGATAACGTAAACATAAGGAATAAGTGCGAAAAAGTATAGCTCAGAACATTAGACGAGGACTGCCTGCAATGAACAGAATAACGTAAATAAATGGCATGCTGATACCAATTCATTATCCATCCAGGCTTCCAAATGTTCTAATTAGGCTGGAAAACACGCACAATGTAAGAAAGGCTGTAAATAAACCAACCGAGAAATCATGGGGCAACATAATAGGTGTTTCAGAACAGTGTTTAACAAGCCACAAATAGCCTTCTCTCGAGCAGGAGGAGGAATTGAGAGCAAAGATCAACTGCGTAACAAGAGACAAGGATGAACAAAGGAAGAGTCAAGCACAAGACCCAAGAAACTCAAGAAGAAGTTTCTTAGTCAAGACAGAGGGTACTCGAACGAAATCAATTGTATAACCACATATTTTATTAAAAATAAATCCCGCTGGTCTGCTCGCCTGGTTCCCCTGTCTGGAGGGCGCTGATGGTATTTCACACTTTATTTTCATAATATCCCACGCCTCCCCGATTCATTTATCCCCTCTTAATCCCTTATTTTTCAAACCAACTATTTGGCGCAAGCCCTGTTCATTTTATTTTAAATGATTTACGCCTGTTATACTTCGGTGGTGCAGGCTGGGGTCTTTATGTTTTTCTTGAAGCCCCAACGTAATTTCTGTTCTTATGAGTGTGCTTTTTGTCGCTGAAAATTTCCTTTAGCTCAGAGAATTAAAGCAAACGAAAATGCATTTTAAACTGTAGATGCACGTTTAACAGTGCTTAACTGCTGATCCGTTGGTCGCGGGAATCCCGAAAGCGGCGGGTGCATTTCAACGGAGGCGAAATTATAGAGGCTCGTGGGCTTAGATTTAGATGCACATTAGGAAACAACAGGTAAAAGATAATTCTGGAGTCCTCCAGATTACCTCTAATATTCACATTGTGGTATCGGAACGCAAAACTACTACAGATATTAGTATTTAACTGCCCTATTAAACTCTGCGTTTTGTATTTGCTCCATCCTTAAACTCGGCAGGACAGGCATCGTAGTACAGGGATACTGATTGCGCAGGACCAGCCATGGTGGTCTAATGACTAAGGCACTCGGCTGCTGACCCGCAGGTCGCGGTATTGAATCTAGACCACGGCTGCCACATTTTCGATGGAGGCGAAAATGCTTGAAGCCCGTTTGCCTAGATTTGGGTGCACGTTAAAGCACCCCGGGTGGTCGAAATTTCTGGAGTCCTCCACCACGGCGTCTCTCACAATCATTAGGTGGTTTTGAGACGTTAAACACAGACAATTATTATTATTACTATTCATTGTGCAGGAAAGCTTCATGTCGCGTGCAAGGCTTCTGCAGCTAGATTAGGGTTTCTGTAACCAGCATGCAATAAGAGAGCTTGCCTTAATGTGCGTGTCAGCTTCCACCACTTCTCAGTGTGTCAGAAAGGACTAGAGATAAGCTCATGCATGTTGGTAGTAGCCAGTGAAGTCCTCGCCTTTCTGAAATGACAGAGCAAAGACACACGCTTATGATATTACAAAAACGAGAGTCGATGTTGAAATTCATTGTCGCGTTTACCTTTTAACTAAGAAATTCAGGCTTCTCGTCTTTAAGCGCTCGCATGACTTTGAAAAAGTGCGAAATTTTGAGGAAGCTCTCGGCTTGGATGTGTAACCTTATCTGCGAACATTTATACCATTATTGATCAAATATTTTAGAAATACAAAATTTCAGTGGCAGTAGTGCCCGTTGTGCGAAATAAATTAGCCCATTGTTGTCTTGTGGTTTATTACACTAATTAATGCATGCTAATTCCTTGCTGAACATCTCAAACAATGTGTGGATCACAAAAAACGCAAGAACGGAACATGTAACCACACCTGAGCTATTGTAATTTACAACACTAGCTTGAAAACTTAAGCAAGAAAGGAGAAAAATAAACATAAAAAATTTGTAATGAAAAGTAAATATGAGATTATAAAAATCAAACAAGGAAAAAAGAAATGCAAATATGCAAGTAAACGCAGAAACGATCAAACGAAGCACCGAAACAATGAATGAACAACTTTATTTATCACTTGTTAAAGGGAAGGGGGCAATAGAAAAGAGTGTGGTGGGGACGAACTACTTGAAGTATAGTCCCCCCTCTACCCTCTCAGCCCACTCCAGGATGGCCTCCTGAATGTCGGGCCTCGAGCTGCGCAAGGCAGCCAAATATGTTTAAAAAAATTGAAAAATAAAGTATCACACAAGCAGGAACAACCATAATGCTGACTCACTATAGCGCAGCTTGCGTGTGAGTTCGTGCATTTTTTCTTTCGCTTTTTTGACAGCACGCGTATTCGTTATCTTTATATATAGTTAAACGGATTTCTTTGTACATACTGAAGCTTTAGCGAACACACACGAGGACACAGACGAAATGGACACAAAAGCAGTGCAGACTAACAAATCACTTTTGTTCAATCAGAAAACAGAATATATACTCTCTTCAGCACCTCATGATCACTGCGCATGAGCAAAAGTTGCATCGTACATTCTTTCGAATAAAACAATAAGTCCTCTAACAGATGCAGTGTATATCACAAGTTATTCAGCAATGCAATATCTTTTTCATTCAGCGATACTGAAGGATGACTAACGCACATGTCTAGGTCTAGAGACATACCACGCTTCTACAATATCTCTTGCTGTCTGATTAGGGCATGCAGATTGGTATGCAGCAAAACCAACTAGCCCGTCTTTCCGTATTACTGGATTTCTTTGACAGCGATAGCTTACCGAACGTAACGCACTACTTACCTGCAAAGGAGCTCGCCTCTGTAAATGACAAGCTCGTTTGATGTGTTACGTTGAGGAGTATGGAGGCATCATCGATGCCCTTTGGATTTCTCGCAACAAAAAGTATCTCTCCGCCATCGTCGGGGTGAACTGACCTAATCTCGAGAGACGTGGTTCTACAAAACGGTGTGTCGGCACTCTGAAAAATGAGGGTATAAAACAAGAATTTTAAATAAGCATACACATTTACTTAAACCTGCACTCAGTACTTTACATGAAATATTTGTGAATTACTAAATGTGTATACACTTCAATTGCTTCACGAACTTCTATTCTACTTCTCGCTGCCCCGCCGAGGTGGCCTAGTGGCTAAGACACTCGGCCGCTGACCCGCAGTTCGCGGGATGGAATTCCGGCTGCGACAGCTGCATTTTTGATGGAGGCGACAATGCAGTAGGCCCGTGTGCTCAGATTTTGGCGCATGGTAAAGAACCCCAGGAGGTAAAAATTGCCGGAGCCCTCCACTACGACATCTCTCATAATCATATGGTGGTTCTGGGACGTTAAACCCCACATATATATCGATTGTTTCTCGCTGTATATATCTGTATATGATAAAGTACCATTTTAACGCAATAGCGTTAGAGAGCTCGTGTCGCAGAAATTCCGCCGTTGGAGTCGGCCTCGTTGGTCCTGAGCGAAAAATCGTGTGTGAGCGAAAAAGCTCGTTACAGAGATTGCCACGGCAGGCCATTACTGTCCACGCGTGCGCGTGCGATCACACTGAAAAAGCCGCGCATTCGAAGAAGGAAGAGAAAAAAGTGCTCAAGGTCACGAGGCGGCGGGTGATGTATAGTTTCGTTGCCTCTGCCATCCCTCTCTGCTTAGCTTCCAGCGCTTTCGTCGGGACCAGAGAAGAGAGAATGCAATTGCAGCATGCGACAAACCTTTGTAACTCCACTCGCACTGGACGGATTCTTGAAATTTTTGCGGCGTTGAATTCGTGAGGCAATATGCTATTCTAGTGAATTCATTCCATGGTTACTTAAAAACGTGTTTCAGGGCCCCGTTCATGCATTTTGTTCGACAGGTGTCACGACGAGAACGAGCTCATTCGGCGATTTGTAGGCGCATTTGGGAGGCCTCAAACTACGTCGACAAAGGCCGGGAAAGTGCAACCATCGCCGCTAAAAACACACAGGAACTTTCAAACAACTCTAAAAATGGACTACTACGTCCATCTAGCGGAAAACATATTATGCCTTTCCAGAGGCGTTGACCAAGAAAACAGTGAACGCTAGATAATGTGCTGCCATCTGTGAGGCATTGTCAGACTCTTTATGGCCTCTGAGATGGCAAGCGAGTGGCGTGTATCTTGGAGGCCATGCGACTCTTGCTTTAGATCAAGAACCTGTATGTACCATTCGCACGCGCGTGCTTGTACAATCTACTGTGTGTGAGTGTGTGTGTGTGCGTATGTGACAAAATATATTACTAGGTATGCACTAAGCGGTTGAATGGCGCACTAAGGGCCGGATTTCGCTATCGCGTTCAACTCTTAAAGGCAAAGCTCAAGGGTCCTTCATTTTTTTTCTTTTATAATGGTTTTATTGTGGTAATGTTTTGTGTAATTTTACTGCTAAAATCGTGGATGTAACTTACGTTATCAATTCCTTTTTTAGGTGTAGTATTGCAATTTTTTGTAAAAAACTTTTGAGCACTCACTTTGTATTGTTTGTTGTTCAACAGTGTTTTATTAGAAATGATGTGTCTATGACGCTTTTAGTGCTATTTTATATGTTTGTTTATATAAAAACATTTTTGGCTACTTTTGTGTTTGAAAATTTTTCTCAGCTTTAACTTGTTTGCCATGTAGTTGGTCTCCTGGGCCCCATTCAAGCTGTTTGATAACAGCTTTTAGCCCAGAGGGCCATCCAAAATGTAATATTTTGTAAATTCTAGAAAATCAAGAGAATGAATGAATTAATGAATTGAATGAATGAAAGTTACGATGTGCTTGCAATTGCTAAAAAAGAAAAAAAAACGAAAGATGGAGGTGACCGTAAAGTGTGACTTAGGTGTTTGCTAATGGAAATCGCACGTCACGTCGGCGTTCATGTGGCTTGGTCTGTAAGAGCTTTACTGGTGTGTTCGTTGCGTTAGTAATTTTTTGTATGTATCGTGCAGACAATGCGAATCTCAGGGGTCACGTAGTTCACGTGACCCCTGAGATTCACCTCAGGAACCACGTGCTTCCTGAGACTCAGGAAGCACGTGGTTCAGGTCTGCTCCACCATGTTGCACAACGATTTCTGCTTCGCCCAATCTTTCATTGACCTCACTCGATTAATGTTCATCTTCTATGCGGACAGTTAAATGGTGCCTATATGAAGTAAATATATACTCCTACATCGTTTGCTTATGGTAGAATAGACTGCTGCGCGAGTCGGCGTTTAATTATCAGTGAAATAGTGCGAGAAAGACGTGGACCAAAAATATTAACAGCCCTTACGTAGGATAACAGCTGAGACTTTTATTGAAAACATGAAGAATATAAAGGGCAGAAAAATCCCGTGCGCATTTTTAACACCAGAAAAATATACATGTGCAATATTTGTGCATCACTGTAACCAATATCGGCTTATTGTTAGGCTTAGGAGAGCTCGGTGACATACTTATACACCTCCGGTTTTGCAAACATAGTGAGCATCAACAGGTCAACAGGCTTTGTGCAGCGCAAGAACTTCGATAATGATTATGCAATCGATGTCACTCTTGAATCATAACCACCAATTTATATTTTTATGAGGCTATTTCTGGATATTCGGAGATCTAGAAGTAAGTGCCCGATCGAGAGTGCTTGGTAGTAAAAGGAGTGTAGCTTTGTGCTTGCGTCATTAAAAAAGGGAAATTCTCTATTTTAAAAGAAGGGCAAGGAAGCGAGAGGCAGGAATGTTAAGCATGCTAGGAGGTCTGGCAATGAAAATCCGAAAAATCGCTAATGAAGAAGTACAATCCCTGTGGAACGCTGAGTGCTTACGGCACACGCGACTGCATGGTTGGACACGTCTCGTCGACTTCGGCCTCCGTCCGGACTATCTCGTTTTGAGACAACGGCACTTTGCTGACTGTGGCCGGGTGTCGCTTTCACCAAAGCTTTCGGCTTTCGGATCGACATGGAAGACAGTGTTGCTTGCAGCCATTGCGGCAGCGATAGAACGATAGAGCACGGTCTTTGTCACGGCCTTTGTTATAGCGTGCAAAGACGGCAGCTAGCTGCTGCGTTAGCTGACCTTGACGACAGACCTGTCTCAGAACAATCAGTGCTTGAAAGGCGACAAGATCTGTCTTCGCACAGAAAACCAGGGAAGGCCTCATTGAACTTTTTGCGTGGTAGTGGCCTATTGTATAAGCTATAGCACCCCAGATCACTTTTTTTTCTTTTCTCTTTCGCGCGTTCATTTCGCTTTTCGCTTTCTTTCACATCTTTATTCTCCATTCTCTCTTCCCTTAGTGCAGAGTAGCAAACCGGATGCTCCTATTTCTGGTTAACCTCACTGCCTTTCCCTCATTTTATTCTATTTCTCTCTCTCTAGGAGGTCTGCTATGCTACTATACACAGGGGAAATGAGAATTATTGCAGTGGTTGTAAGGATGAACTGTCTTACGAATGGTACGCTAGTTTTTCAATAACTTTGATAATCGTTGGCTAAAGTCAAGATAAAAAACTACTTGAAATTTAGAAACACTTTTTTTTATCACAAGCCCGTTTCAACGAGACGATTTTTTTTCACATCTGCTCCGGCTAGTGGCATTTCGTTGTGCTTGCCCACAACACCCAGCAATAATCGTCCGCCTCAAGATCATTAAATTTCTGCTTGACATGACGCGTGCATCACGCCCCTTTTTTCCTAAGCTTTAAGCTTTTTGGGAGTTTGAAGCCAGGCGTTTTTGTTGTTGGCTGGCTAGGACATAAGAATGCGCGTTTAAGATTGAAGTGCTCTACGTGTCACTCCAGAACAAATAAGACAGCTTTAGAGCAGAAACGTTTTAGTATTTTGGCGCATTTTTCTCGCGTTATGCATGTGCGTACTCTAGAATTTAGTGTCTTATTAGGAGTAGGAAGTGAGCTTGAGGGGAGAAAAATACGCTGTTTCTGTAGGTCCTATAGCTGAAAATACGGCTCCATGGGGACAGCAACTATGTCTTCGCAAAGAACTCAGCAAATGAGATAATCAACCTCTGTAAGAGGAAAAAATTTTGCAATATCGACTGGATGCAACGACACAGAAGACGGCCCTGCTAGCACTGCAGCGCTTTTGGTGATTGACCGACCTTTTTAAAGGGTTGTAGCCAGAACGTCCTTTCTGTTTGCGTTTTTGTTTTTGCCAAAGTGCACACGCGTTTTTTTTTTTCTCTCTCTACACCGTCTTTCTTGCCCCTATTTCGCCACCCCCAGCGCTCGGCAGCAAACCGGATGTCAATGTTAACCTCCCAGCTTTCCTTTATTCTCTCTCCGCGGGAATCGAGCAGTTAACCACTCGTAATTCTTGCTGTCTCAAACGCTGTGCGGTATATAAGTTTGATATTAGGGTGCCAGTGATGCCAACTTTCACGACGTACCACCCACGGTTTGTAGCCGGCATAGCACTGGAGCGCTTCAAAGAAAACCGACAAATACGACATTTAGAACAATCTTTCTTCGCATAGTGTTCAGGATTCGAGATTTAAAAAAATAAAAAATTGGCAGCATATCCACGGAGTGAATGATGGAGAGTGGGGCGAAGCATTTGTCCGTCCATTTGTTCTTGCTTCCGTCCGTCCATGCGTCCGTCTGTGTGACCGTCCATGCGTCCATCCGCCCGTCCGCGCGTGCGTCTGTTCGTGCATCCGTCCCTGCGTTCGTCCATGCATCCGCCCCTGCGTCCGTTCATGCGTCCATCCATGCATCTGCCTGTGTGTCCGTTCGTCTATCTATTCAACACTCCGAGTACCACCATCTCGCATATTTTCATCATATATTCCCCATATAAAACAACCGCCATCCAGCGGACATTCCAAGGACTGAACGAGAGGTGGCACACGCACACTTTCTTACGGCTTGCGCTTCGTGTCTACTTCCCATTTTTAACCACCTCGAGTTCATGGTATATACTAGTTCACTGTATCATGGCACTGCGGCCCAACGCTCGCTAAAACTTTCTAAATCCGAGGAGATTACGCCCAGCGAGTATAACGTAAAAACCTTTTCCTGTCAGTTAGTGCTCGATGTACATGCCAATGGCTGCTAATGGGAATTGAGAGACAGGAGAATTAGGCTTTTACTTTCTTACGGCTTGCGCTTCGTATCTATTTCCCACTTTTAACCACCTCGAGTTTATCGTATATACTAGTTCATTGTATTCATGGCCCTGCGGCTCAACGCTCGCTAAACCTTTCTGAAACTAAGGATGTTACACCCAGCGAGAATAACGTAGCAACCTTTTCTTGTCAGATAGTGCTCAATGTACATGCCATTGGCTGCTAATGGGGATCGTAGCGCGTGCGTTAACTAAAAGCCAAATGCTCTTGTCTCTCATTCCCCATTAGCACCCATTGACATGTACATTGAGCACTATTTTTTATTGTTCAACAACGTACAAAAGAAATTTTTCACCGGCACCACCTTGGAGGTCAAAATGTTATACTTGTTGCCCACTAAAACGGCTACGAGGGACGAACGGGTGCCGTTATAAACCCTTCGCCCCTAAACTCCAGTTTAGCGCCGGGTTTTTTCATTCAGCCGGCAGCGCCCCTTCGTATTTTAGGTATTTTATACAACCACTACGGCATTTGCGAGTCTGGTCAAACGCTCTCGAAGAAGTAAGACTGAAAATTCAGGATGCACGGGATTTTGACTTCCCGCTTCTTGAGCGGAGGTACCTAGCGCAGACTGTATTTTGCGGTCGCATTTGGTACCTTGCTCACGTCGTGCAACCTTCTTTACGTATCGTGCGATCACTGTAGTCTGCTTTGTGTTCCTTTTTTTGGTCAGGCGGCACTGAGTTGGTCTCTCGCGCGGCACTGGGACAGCAGCGTTCTCAGGGAGGCTTTGCTTTCCCTTCAGTGTCCATACGCTGTCGGCTGCTGGCACTGCGCTTCCTTTTGCGCCTAGTGCAAGGGGAGGAATCTCCCGCATGAGCGCTTGCATATTACTTTCTGGGTACTCACTTTCGGCATTTGATGCCTAATGTGCAACTTAACAGGGGGCCGCAGTCAATAACACTTCCTGCGTTTTATGCAACAACTGTTGCATTTTTTCGCCATGTCAAGTCGAGCTGTCCTGGCATAGATGTTTTGAACAACCACATAGTTGAAACAACTGCTGTTTTGTTGCTTCCGTTGGTCCCGCCAGCCCGCCGTGCTCGCTCTAGACGGGTGTCTCGGAGCACCTTAACGGCTTCTTTTCTGCCTGGACACCTCCGGGACTTCATGTGGCGCCTGGAATGGGGTGTGCTTCCCACTCTCGACCGCCTCGAAAGGTGGAGAATAGTCCAGTCTGCAACATGTCCGAACTGCTCCATTCGGGAAACAAATCAGCATTTTCTGAGGTATTGTGTCATTGCTCGCGTTTTTAGCCGTACATGCCGGATTTCGCTGCCTCAGAGTAAATCGCTTAATTCTTCTGGGCGTTGTTCGCGAGGCCGCTTCGCTTGTCTTCTCATTGTTGCCAGCTGTTTCTGACTCTGGCGCAACCGCTGCGAGGCGGTTGCTGCGGGCCGCCGCCGCCGCGCGCTCTACCCGATCCTAGAACGATTGTACTCGGAGCTGCTGTCTGTTTTGTCGGAGGAGCTCTTCTTCCTCGGTGAACAGGAATTTCTTCGGCACTGGTCTTGCCCTTTTGTGTCGGTCTATGACGGACGAGTGAAACTTGTCTTTCGGCCAGCCTGGTATTGGTAGGCTGATCTGTCGATGCGCCGGCAGAAATGGCATGCCAAAATGTAAATATCCGAAATGTACATATTTATGTTTTATTTGTGTCTCTTGTTTGCCATGAAGTGCTGCACTAATTTCAATATTCCTGGCTTTGACATTCCCGATATAACTATTACTGAGCCGGGAATATTTTCGGCTTTGCTCAACCTTGACCCTAAAAAGTCCGCAGGTCCCGACAGAATACCAAATGCATTCCTTTACCGGTATGCGGAGTGGTGCTCGAAATACCTTTACATTATATTTAGCGAAAGTCTACTAAGCGGTGTGGTTCCAGACGATTGGAAAACTGCAAAAGTTACTCCTGTGCATAAATCCGGCGATAAACTTTCTGTAAAAAACTACCACCCCATATCCCTTTTGTGTACAGCCGGTAAAGTTTTGGAGCACTTTATATTTAAACACCTAGTAACGTATCTTGAGAGCAACATGTTTTTTACGAGCAATCAACATGGTTTTCGGCGTGGATTTTCCACGGTTACACAACTAATACACACGACTAACGACATCTCAAAAGTTTCAGATAAGAGGGGCAAATTGACGCTATATTCTTGGATTTCGAAAAAGCTTTCGATCGAGTACCCCATAGCAACCTGATGTTAAAAATTCGAAACTTGGTCAAAAATGAGAAAATAACTCAGAGGTTGGACTCCTACTTATCAAGCCGGTATCAGTACGTTCAGATAGGTGACTCTGCCTCTCACTTGTCATCAGTTGTTTCTGGAGTCCCACAGGGCTCCGTCTTAGGTCCGTTGCTTTTCATTATCTATTTAAACGATTTACAGTTCGACTGTCTGGTGCGTTTCCGTTTCTTTGCCGATGACTGCGTTGTTTATCTCCCTATTGAATCGGTAAATGACCAGAAAGTTCTCAACAAATACTTTACAGCTGTTAGTAATTGGTGTGCCGATTGGAACATGAGCCTCAACACAACAAAGTGCCGCCAAATGACAATAACGCACAAAAAGTTTCCATTTCAATATGCTTATCAAATTAACAATGTTGAATTAGAGGTTGTTAACGAGTACAAATATTTGGGTGTAACCGTCACATCAAACCTCACCTGGAACAAACACATACAAAATATTACATCATCAGCACTGCGCAGACTTTGACTTCTAGGACACCGACTTAAGCACTGTACAAGCAGAACGAAGACCGTTGCGTACACTACGCTGGTCCGCCCCTTGCTCGAATATGCAGACGTTGTTTGGGACCCACACACAAAGACGGATTCAGCGATGCTCGAACGGGTACAAAAGAAAGCGCTGCGATTTATTCACAACGCATACAGCAGGCGAGTATCCGTGACAGAACTGCGCAAGCGTTCTGACCTACCAACACTAGAGTCCCGCCGTAAATTACATCGACTTAAAACATTACACAGTATAGTCTATGGTTATTCAAAGCTTGACTACAATACTTATCTCGAATTCAACATGTCACGCCCCACCCGGAACAAGCACAACAAAACAATCCTAATGCCTTTCATGAGAACAAACGCTCACCGTCTATCCTTTTTCCCGAGAACGATAGCAGAATGGAACACTTTGCCACGCGACGTTACTAACTTAACTAATCAAAATGCTTTTTCAATGGCTATTCAAAATTGTGTATGATTGGAAGTGCTGGTCTTGTTCCCCTGTCCTACTGAACTAACGTATTTCACGTGTTATCTTGCTACCATGCCACAACGTACACTGCTTTTTTTCTTTTTTTTACTTACTTACTGCATTATTGCTTCCCTGTGTACCGCGGACCGTGTTACTGGTCGCGTGTAAACTTTGTGTTTGTAAACTTTGCGTGTAAACTTTGTGCACTGTACCACTCCTGCCCTGGCTGCCAAAGGGTGGCTGGCAGTACTGAATAAACAAGTATTTTTTGTCGTTGTGTTTTTGTGAACCATCGAATGTGCATGTTCTTTCAACGCCATCTCATATCCATGTTCATGTAAATGACGTCTGTTTTGTCATCATCGTTAGAGTATGTCTAAGAAGGAAATGTTCTGTTGAGTCTTATTGACGTTTGTGGCAATAAATTTTTTCTAAACACAAAAAACATAACAGCTTTACTGACGTGAAGCATGGAGTGGTGGGAAGCATCGGTGCTTCGCATAGAGACCCGTCAATAAGAATGAGAGTAGAGCGTCCTATCATTGCTACACGCAGTGTCTAGTGCCCGTTGCAGAAACAGAGCTTTTCCTGAATGAATGCACCGGCCTAACTGCCACGTGCTTCACCGTGACGGCGATGACGGGAGACACTTGTGACGGGCTAAGAGGACAGTAGATGGAGATCCCCGCCGCGGTGGTCTAGTGGCTAAGGTACTCGGCTGCTGACCAGCAGGTCGCGGTATCGAATCCCAGCTGCAGCGGCGGCATTTCTGATGGAGGCGGGAATGTAGACTCGAGTGCTCAGATTTGGGTGCATGTTAAAGAACCCCAGGTGGTCGAAATTTCCAGAGCCCTCCACTAAGGCGTCTTTCATAATCATATGATGGTTTTGGGACGTTAAAGTCCACATATCAATCAATCAATCAGTAGATGCCCATGGCCAAAGCGAATGACGTGCTTCGCACCAAAAAGTCCGCACATTGGCATTCGTGCTCGCGTGTTGCGCAAGTTCTGCCTCTGCCGTCTCACTGAAGTACTCACACTGTAGTTCCTGGCGATGTAATGGGCGTGCGACGCGTCTCCGGGGCTCAGAAGTACGCGCCTCACGATCCAGTAAGCTCGTGTCGGTGGAGGGTTGGCACAAACTAGCACCGTGATCCTCACAGGCTTGCCCACAATCGCCGTCAGGGTTTTATTCACCGCTCGGACGTCGGGTCGACCTGTACAGAAAAAGATGGGGCGTATTCGAGCAGGTACGATTAATTACTGATACAGCTAAACATCCCGACATTAATCAAAATAGATTCTAGCGATCGCCGCTGTTTTGGCTTCGCTTGTGGGCGAGACACAAGCACGGGATGCTCACAGTGATGAAATATTGCCTTCAATAGGCACAAAATGTTTCTGTCAGTTTCATTAATAAAAATCAGCTGCTACAACAGTTAACGTGTTTCAGTATATTTCCACCCGAATACGTTGGAGCCTCCTCAATCACTATCGTTGAAGAAAGCACGTATATTGCGAAAGTGAAAGGACATTGACACTTCAAGGTGTGATAAGCGCCGGTCGTATCATTCATTTGACCTTCATTAGCTCGGAAAACAGGATAATTTGGATGTGCTTTCTGGCCCTGGCCAACATCTGCATTGTGTAAAGGCACTAAACACTCGTTGATTCGGTCACTTTTGGCCGCAGCTTGGTCAGTTCTCACGATGCTCGGAGTGCGCCGAGGGTGAAGCGCTGCAATGTGAGACACGAAAACAAAACCGATGTTCACGCACAACCCAATCAAGCTGATTGTTGTCTGCATCGCTATCTTCATTAGTTAGGGACTATGGTTTTGTTCACATGCGGAACCAGGACTTAGCAGCTCCAATATAGCTCGATGCAATGTGCACTCAATTCGCTAAATTCAGTGCTGTCGGTCACTGAAGATACTGAACTCCAACCAAGAGACAGCTGTTGAGAGTCTTTTAGTTGTACAAGAATAAGAGATCTTCCTCGTAGAGCGACCATACAGCTGTGGCTGCTATGCTGACACCAAACTCATTTGCTACATAGTGATGCATGAACTACCAGTCATTTTACCTGCGTAAGGAATACCATCACGTGTGCGTGGTGGTGATGGGCGTGCTAGTAATAAAAAAGGGGTCCTGAGCATCCTTCCCGCTAATTAAACATGGGACTGTGGCACACTGATCACATAGAGAAAGAAACTGAAGGATGAGGAAAGTTGCAGCTTCTACATTGATCTTATGCAAAATAATGCAATTGAGCTTATGCAAATATCTTACGTATTCATCAAGAAAATTTAAGTATATTGATGTAACAAGAATCTGTTTTACAGCGAAAGCTGTTATAAGATCAAAGCCCGGGTTACGTGCAGTTAGTTGTCCACCGCCGCCGCCACTGACGCTGCCGCTGCCGCCGGCATTCGTAACCACATCGCACGAAATTAGAAAAAAAAAACACCTACGGCCAATGACACCGTGGGGCTAGAACACGGGTTCCAGTATTCTACCACTGAGCCACACTGGTGCTTAGGACTTGTTCGTAAACTTGTCTTAGGCAAGCTTGATGTCAGACAAGCAATCGCGTTAATATGACCTATAAGGCGTTTTAAAACAGCTAAAAAACAACTAGTCGTTGAACAATGCGAATAACGTAACGAGTGGGTCGTCCAATGCTCCAACCTATTACAAAAACTTGTTCTTGTTCAGCTATCAATTATGGCGCATACCCACTTCAAGCATGATTCCTCATCGTCGTCAGTCACTGCATGAACAATTGACAGAAAAATTTCTCGCAAGTCTTTGGAGGATACCACACTTCTCAGAAGAATGACGAAAAATAGCAAAGCGAATGCCGGCCTACTACCCTAAACTTTTTAATATTATAACTTTTGTGGGCATCAAGCAAGTGTGCTTGCAGCAGTTACCCATTTATTGTTTAGAAAAGGCTCTAAGAGGCCACTCTTCTAGCTTTCGCCGTGATTGTACTGCGCCTTCTGTGCAGGCCTGGCGTTTTTATTGGTTTCTTGATGCTTTGGGTAATCCGGTGTAGTTGGTTGATTCGGACATTTTCCCCGGTCCCTTGAAACCAAGTTAAGGTTCCTGGTTCCTTTAAATCCAAGTTTAGCGTTTACCTTAGTGATTAAGGTACTAAAGTGTAGAAAATGTTGCCCCTCATTTTAGAGCCATGCATATGCAACGCAACATAGTTCAAGAACTTTTCAGTAGTTAAGCACAGATGCATCACGCATGGCTATTTTACATTATGTGCTTATTAGACCCATATTCTGAAAGGAAGACTTGTGTTCCACCGAGGCGTATGAATTTAGGACACAAGATATTCTCGGTCGGGAAAGCGTTTGCCCCTGCCTGGATTCCCGAACCAAGAGGACATTTTCTTTTTCCTAAATTCCGAAAATTTCTTAGAAATCGTCGTTCGGTGACCTTTGCGACCTAGTAGTCCACTAAGTTGATGACGATACTCCTCTCATAAATAATTCCTTGATTGTGAGTTTCGTCAAAGAGTATTTGCCAAAGTCTTATATTAATGACAAACTGTGAAAGTTACAAGGTATTTTATCAATTCGCATAAGACAACTTGAAAGCTATCTTCTTCGTACTTTGTCTTGATTGGATGACGGGAAGGAGGACGCATTGCTTCCGGGATTCGGGGAAAATAGAAGCTTTCGGCCCCACTTTTGGCAGTGCCTCCGAGATCTGCCCACGCTTGACCGAACGACGATGGTATGACGTCATAAAGAGACGTCATCACTTGGCAAATTTTTGAATAAATTGTGTTCAAACGGGATACAATGGCAGTTTTTTGTTCGCGTTTTTTTAGACATTTAAGACATGTGAGCTTGGTAAACGAACCTGATATCGTGAGCAGGATGTTCCTGGTGCGTGCTCGTTCCTCCTTCCATCCGAGGTGGTTTGTTGCCGTGCACTGGTAGCTTCCAGCATCCGAGTACAGCACTGGGTCCAGTAGAAGGGAGCTTTCGGAGGTCATGCTTTCTAGCCGACCCGAGCGCACACGCGTCCAGCAGTAAGATGGTGGCGGCTTGCCGTCAGCCTTGCAGTCCAGCTGCACGGGCTCACCGAAATCGGCCGACACTTGCGACGGTGGCTGCTCGACTATTTCTGGACCGTCTGCGTTGAACGTTTCCGAGTCCACGTTAAGATGACGAGCACACGATTGTCGCACGGCTACTTAGCACACTTTCTCATACCCACTCTTACAAAGAATACGCAGACGGGGACTACGAGAAGTTATCTTGAGCTCCAGTTATCTAGAAGTACATGAATAGTTCCCATTCTCTCATTTTAATTGAGGCTTACTCAAAACACAGCTCTCGAATTATTTGCCCTTCCTTCCCACAACTATCCCTATGTGCGACAGCTGGCATCATGCTCGCCTCGGTGGTGCAAAGCGGTTATGGTGCATAGCTGCCAACCCGAAGACAGTGTATTCTATCCCAAGCACGAGGGTTGCATTTTGATATCGGCGAAATGCTGCAGAGGCGCATAATGTGCGATGTCAGTGCACCTTAAAAGAACACTGGGTGGTCAAAACTTCTGAAGAATTTCAAAATGGCGACCCTCATAATATCGCAGTCTTGCCAAGCAAAACCCCACAAATGTGGTTCTATCGAAACGCGACAGCATATGTGTTGTGAATGTGTATAAAAAATGGTAAGCTGTTAGCGTGAGCACACACAATAATCTCCAGGTTATGACAATGTGCCAACAAATTGCCAAAGAGAGAAAGATAGGAGAAGCAAGGAAAGGCAGGGAGGTTAACCAGGTTCACGTATGGCCGGCAACCTTGCACTGAGGCAGAATTCTAAAAGATTTATTGATTGATATGTGGGGTTTAATGTCCCAAAAACCACCATATGATAATGAAAGACGCCGTAGTGGAGGGCTCCAGAAATTTCGACCACCTGGTGTTCTTTAACGTGCACTCAAATCTGAGCACACGAGCCTACAGCATTCCCGCCTCCATCGGAAATGCAGCTGCTGCAGCCGGGATTCGATCCCGTGACCTGCGGGTCAGCAGCTGAGTACCTTAGCCACTAGACAACCGCAGCGAGAATGATAAAGGAGGCGATAAGAGAGACATAAAATTATCCAAGGTGTAAACTACGCATTGCCTGTGTAGCTGCAGGCTCCTGTGTAAGTAAGTGGCACCGAAGTGCTTGATGTCACAACAACAACAACAACAACAACAACAACAACAACAACAACAACAACAACAACAACAACAACAACAACAACAACAACAACAACAACAACAACAACAACAACAACAACAACAACAACAACAACAACAACAACAACAACAACAACGACAACAACGACAACAACGACAACAACAACAACAACAACAACAGTAATAATAATAATAATAATAATAATAATAATAATAATAATAATAATACTTTATACCACTGAGCACATAACTCAAAGATTTTCAGAAGCATAGAAGTGCGCATAGTTGGTACTTGTCAAGTGCTTAAACTGACGCGAAACTAACACACACACACAGACACCGACAACACGAGCACATTTTCTTTGTCATGCTGATGCCAGGGAGGTACATGACAGTCAACGCTTTTTCTGTGCATTTCATCGATGCTTAATTTTTAATACATTATTTCGCTTTTTCCTTGTTTCTTGTCGGACAGCAGCCGGCAAACAAGAAAAAAATGAGGAAGTTATAAGAAGAAAAGGGAGGAGAACACAAGCTGAGAAGGGCGTTACATGCGCTGTCATTGTCGAGCATTCTAAGCGACAGGGCAACATCTGCCCCACGTCTGACAAAAGACACGCCACCCTCTCGACGCCAACAATAAATGTAGTTAAGAGCGGAAGCGACGCCCCTTTATAAGCCCATCTTTCTCGAATTGTTAAGATGGGCTACATACGCACGAAGAAGTGAAGGAGTGACGGCAAACGGCATTTCGTTGCTTCATACGAAGAATAAACTGTCAGCTTCTCGACGCCAATTTTTGAGGCAAATGGCCGCCGTAATAACGTCTTTGCTTAAAGAGCTATATTTAGCTGGAGAAAGAGAAGAATGAACCGGCGCGACAGCGGTGGACTGGATTATTAAAAGTTAGTCTCAGCTTCCCCACTTGTTTCGTTTACTCTCGAAAACTTTGTCAATCAAAGAAAGAGAAGCGCGCCAAAATACGCTGACATGATCCTGAACTCTTTTGTTTTGTGACGGCTGCTCGTTTTTTTCCCTTCATTTTTTTGATTTTCTGAAAGGAATGAAGGAAGTCTCTCTGGGCTGAGTAGCATATATTGTTCGTGTGTACAGATGACATCCTCAGCGGAGTGAATGGGCCGGACTCCGCGAAAAAGAAGTAGCTGCCTGAAAAACGCGCTTCAATGGAGGGGAAAGAGGAAAAAAAAAAACATTTTAGAAACGTGAATGATGTTCCCGTTTCTCGATGGTGGTGGTGGTAAAAAACATTTATTTCAGAAAAAGTTTACTAGACAGTGCCGACATGGCACATCGGCGTGCTAGAGTGGCAAGACCCTATTCCGGGATGCCAGTGGAGCTGGAAGCTACCCGTGCGCGCTCCACCAAGGAGCGTTGTGCAGCCAAGGTAGAGCAGCCGAGCAGGTGCTCCTCCCAAGCCTCTCTAGGGGGGATAGGAAAAGGGGATGAGAAAGGGACGGGATTAACTGGGCACGATGCTACGATGTGATATGTGTCGGCCAGCACATGACAGGTCGAGCAGGTGCCATTGATTTCCGGCAAAAAGTGCCTGGCGACTGCCGGACTGATAAAGGTGTTCGTCTGCAGGCGGCGTAGCAGTCGTTCGTCCGCTTTCTCCAAACCGCGTGCGGGGTCCGGGTAGAGGCGGCGCGAAGCCCGGTAATAAGCCGAAATTTCGCGAAAGCGCGTCAGGTTGGTATTGCCAGATTCCGTCTCGGGACATGGAGGGGCAACGACCCGGACAGGAGAAGCGCGGGCAGCGGCATTTGCCGCCTCGTTGCCGGGCAGGCCCGAGTGGCCTGGGGCCCACACTATACGAATGGGATGAGGGTTAAAGCGCCAAGAGGCTGCCTGTAGTAGGCTAGCCGCCAGCGGAGCAATGGAACCCTGAAGGTACTGAGAACAGGCCGAGCGCGAGTCCGTCAGGATGGTGCGTGAGGCAGGGTGAGAGGCGGCCAAAGCTATGGCAACCTCTTCAGCGTGCGTTACTGTGTCTGCTCGAAAGGAGAGGCTATCTACGTGTTTGCCCTCTGTAATCACGGCGGCCGTGAAGTGACCCGAGGGGGAGGGACCCGAGACGTCCACGTAGAAAACACCAGGATGATCGGAGTGTCGCGTATGAAGGGCCGCGGCGCGTGCTAGTCTACGGCCAGGATGGAGGTCAGGGTTCATATTACGGGGTAGAGGTTCCACCCATAGCTTTTGACGCCAGAGCTCTGGTACCGGCTGCAGAGGGTCTTGGTCAGATATCGGGTTAAGGCCAAGTCTGTGTAGAAGACGGCGCCCTGAAGGCGTCTGCGACAGTCGATTGATTTGGTTAACGCGATGAGCTCCGCGCATCTCTGCAAAGGTGTTGTGTACCCCCAGAGCCGTGAATCGGCTGTTGGAAGTTGCAGTAGGTAGGTCCAGAGCGCGTTTGTATACTGAACGAAGAAGGACGTCCAGCTGGTGCTCGTGTCGACGACGCAGGCGAAGGTAAGGCAAGGCGTAGAGGACGCGACTGGTCACAAACGCGTGGGCCAATCGGAGGGACTGAGACCCGCGGAGGCCGCCGCGCTTGGTAGAAACTCGCCGTATCATGCGGCTCACCTGTTCGCTGGTGCGTCTGAGGCCTGCTATTGTGCCCTTTGGATCCAAGGACGATGTGAGGTGAAGGCCAAGAACCCGAATATTTTGCACTGATGGGACGGGCCCGGACGGAAGAAAAATTTGAGGTGGCGGTAGCGGAGAGACTGAAAGAAGAGCCGATTTAGCTGGAGAGCACTCCAGGCCACATGAACCTGCGTAGGTGTCCACCAGAAGGGCAGCCTTTTGCAGGCGTTCTTCGATTTGCGCTAAGGAGCCGGTGTTGGTCCAGATTGTGATATCGTCCGCATATAGTGCGTGTTGTATTACCTCGACCTCGCTTAGAAGAGAGGGGAGGTTCATCATCGCCAGGTTAAAAAATTGCCCGCAGCTTCCCTCGGGGGAACACTGAGGAGGATGCGGAGCATATAATTGGTTAACGGGGTGTTAAAGTGCGACTTACTTGGGTCGATGGCTAAATTGGTTAACGTGGTTGTGAAATGGGGTGTTAAATTGCGACTTACTTGGGTCGATGGCTAAATTGGTTAACGTGGTTGTAGGAGGGGGTGTTAAATGAGTGAACACGTACACACGTATGCGAAAGGGCGGCGCTGGTCGAAGGGACGTCGATCATTGTGTTTGTGGATTCGTTGGAATTCATTTCACCGCGACCTTGGACGTCGACGCGCCGTACAAACCAACCGACGAGCGGCAACTGAGCGAGCGAGCGCCGACCTTGAGTATATATACAGCACGACGGCGCATGCACTGTCAGCTGTTGAATGTTCTCGAAGCGCGACGCCACATGCGCGTCCACTGGAGAATCAGGAGAATTGTAGATGTCGAACGCGGTGTGTAGAGGAGGAAGGGTGCAAAGATGGTGGAAGAGTGGGCGACGGCGCGACGGCGCATGCGCGCGCGTCAGCTGTCGAATGTTCGAGAAGCGGTGCGGACGGCGCGGACGGCGCGGACGGCGCACTACAAGGCGCGAGTATAAGATGCTCCGCATCTAAAAAAACACAGAAGAGTGTATACGACATACGCCACAATGTCTTAGTGGAGCTCAATCCTTCATTATGTTGTGACTTTAGGAAACGTTTGGACAGGAGAATCCGTCATTTGAAATTGACAACAAAAATGGTAGTTCAAAGGTCTTCTCATAAATATTCATCTAATTGTAAGACAGATACGAAAAACTGTGATAATCTTTCACTGCTCTCACCTCATTCTTGAGGTCGGACTTATCGCAGCTTCACGCAAAACTTCTGACGTATAAAGCTCTCTAGGAGACATCATCCTCAGAAAAGGAGTGCTTCGAGTGAACTAGTTTTGCGAAGCGTAATCGCAGATTTGC